TCTCTCTATCTCGCTGCGGCGTTTCACCTGCGAAGTTGGCCTACGCAAATTAGGGAGAGAGGAAACATACAATGGAAAAATAACATCAACAACAATAATCGAAAAAACAGGCAAAACAGGCTCAATCCAAACAAAGTATAAAACGTGAAAAAGGGGACGAAACAACACCCACAGCAGCCCCTCACCCCACCCCACCCCACCCCCTTCCATTTTCTTCTTCTACACACTTATAGGAACAAAACGGAGAAAAATCAAAAGGAAAATAAAACAACAACCGTAACAACGACAAAAAAGCACACACACAAAAAAAAAAATCTGAGACATCGGGTGGAGTGGGGTGAGAAGCGCAAAATAATATAACCCTCCGCAGTATGACCAGAGAGAGAGAAAAAAAAAGACAAATAAGAGACAAGAACACACAACAAAAAAAAAAAAAACAACGTTTACGCGGTGTCTTCTCTAGACAACCTCATGGTCAATGCCCTCTGTTGCCAGTTATCGCGTGCGGCGTATGCCACGTGGAGCTAAGGCAGTTCCCGGCGTTGCAATGGTCGATGCTGCATACGAGTGGCTCCGGCAGCGGGCTCATGACATTCCACAGCTTGCGGTGTGCGGAAGTTGGGGTGGTAATGTCGGTGGCCATGTGAATCCCATGAGCTCCGCACGTTGGGGTTGGTTGTGGCCGCGGTACCTGACGTGGTTATGATTGTCCCTACACTTCCCCGGTAAGTGTGGCGCGCCAAAGACGCACCTCTCGCCTCGGCATACTGTGACTCCTTCAACTGGGCCTGTCGCCGCTTTACCGCAGGGCAAAAATCAGAGATGGCCGCACCAACCAGTGAATCCGCAAAGGCCGGTAAAGAATAAGTGGAGTCACCACCTCCCTCAAAGGCCGCCACGTAACGTTCCACCATATCGTGAAAGCGAGTCGCCGCACTTACATGACGATTCAGTGAATACTCCCCATGAGTTTTATAATCACGACGGTACCGACAACGGGACCACGATTGCTGTTTCTGTTGTTGTTGCTGTTTCTTTAGTTGTTTTAGTGAGTGTTCCTGGTTTCCTCTATCAATGCCATTAGTTACGGTCACACCCGCATCTGCTTCAGGGCATGTTGCCATCACAGCCGCCCTTTCACTGCTGCCATTCCAAGGGCCACCACCTGTAACGGTTGCATCCCACCTTTGCCCTATTGAAGCATGCTTCACGTTCCCCGACAGGTGTTGAAATACCTCTGCTCCTGCGGTTGCTCCCACTATGGGGCCCCTCTTGCCACCCGTGGCACCACTGCGCATAGAAGGATTCTCCGTGTGTCTCGCACTCGTAGCAATTTCAGGCGTTGTGCTGTTAACCACCTCTCGACGTCGGCGCGAAGTAGCCCGCTGACGCTGCAATTGCGCCATGGCTTTCCCGTTAACATGGGTCACACGACGATCAAGAGAGGTGTGTTCACCTTGTGGAAGTTGCACAACGCCAACCTCCGCATCGCATTGGGCGGATCTCTGCAGACATGAGTTGCTCTGTAGATCGCCCAGCTCAACTTTATCTGTGCTCGCTTTGCTTCCTTTGACATCCGCCGTCATTGGTCTGCTGTGGGGGACAGCGCATTCCTCGTAGCGGTACGCCGTGTAGACACGGCTGTCATACAACCTGTGACAGGCCTTCACCATGTCTCGGATGTCGTCAAAGCCACCGCTATCGCGGTTTATAAAGGACGGCGATGGATAATTTGCCCCACGCTGCACAGCGGGATGTCCAATGCCGTCATCTACGGTCGGAATGGAAATCAACGGCATCGTTGTGTTTAGGTTACTTGATATCGTCTGATGTAGCACGACACTGGGTTCAAGATGCAGCTGAAGCATCTGCATCAGTTGCTCGCGCTGCAGCTGCATCTCAAGTGAGCGACTGAGTTGATCCTCCGTCAGCGCATCAGCAAAGAGATCAACAGGGCTTTCCACACGTGTGGAGGGGTTACTGTCGTATGATGTTCCAATGCAGACCGCATTTTCACTTTCCTCAAGAACGCTTCTCGTAGAAATAGTTTCCTGCTGTAGCTGAAGGCACGGGGTAGGGGTGCTATCCGTTGAGCGATCCCCACGCACGCTAGAAATAGGCGGCGACGTGGCGGAGTGGAGGACATGGTGGACGTCTTGAGCCTCCCCACCATCGCCGTTTGGCTTCGCAATGCCACCACTGCCCACCTTTGGAGCGACCTCGGCTAAGGGAGAGGTAGCGAGAATGCCTGGCTTCGGAGAAGACAAACGCGATGCCGTCGGCTCGGCTGTGACCGGTCCTACGGTGGTTTCCTCCTTCGACTCGTTGTGGTCACAAGCGGAGTTGAAGAGGCGGTGGCACCCACTCAGAAGCTCCTTCAGCTCCTGCTCAACGAGGCGAAAGTCACTGGTGGTGCACGACTTCGCGGAGGATGAAGACGTCAGAGATGAATTCGGATTGGGACCATCCAAAACGGGCGTCTTCGTCATGGGCTCTCGCGAGTGGAACGCCGGCAAACCAACTCCCGCCGTTTGTCGTGGCCGCTCCTCGCCGTGTGACTGCGGGCCCCACCCGTACATCTCGCCACGGTGCGCCGGCGACCGCTTAGCTGGGGAGTCTGTTCGAGTGATCTCCTCACTGGTGTCCGCCGTCATGCCATTCCTCCCAAGAAGCAGCCGCTCCTCCCGCGCCGCAGCATTCGCCCCTTTTTTGGGTCTGCACCGCTGCAGCATTGCACCGCCCCTGCGTTTGGTGTGTGTGTATGTGCGTAGCGGGGTCTCAGCTGCTCTAAACAAGTGCGTACAACACGACACTCGCGGCGAGGATGCCTCTTGGTGTATCGTCGCACTCCGTCCCCAGTTTTTTTTCCCGTTTAATTTTCCTTTCACCGCACAACGCCTGTGTTGACGACTCTCGTTGGCTGCGATTTGTCAATCTAATTTCCGACAGCCTGACCCTTCACCGTTTATTATTTCTAACAACTTCGTCTTGTTACACCCCCTCCCCCCTTTTCCCTACAAATGCCCTCTTCCCCTGCTCCTTTTGCTTTTAGTATATTCTGCTTGCTTGTTGTTGAGCTCCTCGCTCCCTTTTTATATCTCCCGTACGCGGCTTTTCTCCCCTCGCCCGCGTCGTCTGCGCTGACTTGTGCGACGGAATGGCTTGCCTGCCGTTTACTCGCAGCTCCTGTTTTGTTCTGGTTATCCTTGTTATATCTATATATATTTATATATCTATATAGATATATAGATATAGATATATATCTCACTGTATGTATGTATAGGTATATGGGTCCTCTATCTACTTTTCTCCCCTTTTACTTATTACAACCTTTCACCTACACTTACTACACGTGTAACGTGTGTATTTTTGTATGGTGGGTACAATACACGCAGTGAAAAAAGACATGGAGAAGCGTGTAGGGGATACACATGTGTTCCATACCCCAGTGGTGTGATGGGATGATGATTTAGTGGTCATTCGTAGTAATAGTGAGGAACAGTCATGTAGTGATACAAGTGTGTGTGTGTGTGTATGCGTAGATGTTGTTGATTGAGTTTCCTGCCTATATGTATATATATAAATATATATACAGCGAAACTGCCGAAGTAAAATCGAAGCAGAGAAACAGACGTGACTATGGCACACATGACCAATAATTTATATACATGCCTGCATGCCTCCAGCCCCATATATATATATATATGGATGAACGGGCAGGGATGATATGAGGGAGTGACTGCGAAGAGAGGGGAGGTGTGACTGGCCAATGAAAAAGACTAAGCCGAGGTTCACATAATATAACAAAAATAATAAAATACAACAAAAAGACGTCGACACACACACAGACAGACACATACAAACATGGGGAGACGACGCGTCAGATCCTCCGTCTCACACCCCGTTATGAGTCGTCCCTGTAGGTGGAAAGACTACGCTCACTCTCATCGTCTTCCTTATCCTCCTCATGGACATATTTGATTCCCAAAATGGCCATCTGGACAAGCCCCATCAATCCCTGCTTATAAAGGAGCCCCAAGGTCCCGCGGTGTTCCTTTTCGCGTGTCTCAATACGGCGACGGTCGTGCTCGGCCTGCAGCAGCGCTGCCCGCCACTCGTCTACCCACAGCTGCACCATCACATCCTCCATTTCCTCCCGCTTCCGCGCTTGACGCTGCGCCAGATATTGACGCAGGCGGTATTGCTGCCGTGCCAGAAAACCTCGCATCACCGACTGAATACGAACTGCAGACGCGAGGATGAGAACTCGCAGCGCGCGTGCTCGTTCTTCCTCCTCCCGTTTACGACGGCGTGCCAGCCAGCGACGCACGGCGCGCTGAATGATAGTTGCGGACTTGTCGCGGCGAAGTTCACGGCGGACATGGCGGTGTATATACAATTTTTCCGCCAACCGGCGACAACGACGCCCTTCTGTGAGGAAGCAACTCTCGCGGGCCCGCAAAAACGCGTTGGTTAGGCTCACCGTTCGCTCCTTATGCATTTGAACAGCGGCCGCAAGCTGCTCAGCCGCCCCACGCCGGAGGTGGAAAGCATACCCAAGCTGCGCACGGGCCGTGCCGGCGCGACAGAGACTTTGGATGGTCATGGCAGAAAGAAAGAATCCGCGCCCAACAGCCGCACGCCGATGTCGCGCCGTGCGCTTGGCAACCACCATGCGTCCAAAACACTGAAGCACCATGGTCGCACGGAAGACGCGGTATTCATGGTCCAGGCGTTCCTGATTCATAGCCAGCTGCACCCTTCGTAGGTAGCGAATCTCGCGTCCGGCGCAGAATCGACGGTAGGCGCGCTGTATTGTCAGCACCGCCCTCACAATACGACGACAACGAAGCAAAACGTTGTGTAGCATCTGCCGCTTAAGTGCCGCCTTCCAGCCATTTTGTATGACAGCAGCTGCCTCCTCCTCTCGAACGACACGCTGCTCTGCCTCCAGCCTAAGCCGTTTGCATCGCCGCGTGTACTCCTGCAGACAGAGACGAACGAGGTCCGTACAATCCCGCAGGCGGCGCTGACGCGAGCGATGCTCCTCCACGAGCTGTTCCCGCCTTGCGTAAGCCTCCCGCCTGCCCAAGATTCCCCTAAAGCGGCGCTGAATTTGTGTTGCCGCATGCGTTTGCTGCCGGTGCAGCTCTTCACGACGCTGCTGCTCCTCCACCTCTTGCGTGCGCCTCCGCCAATACGCCTTGCGGGGGACAATAATGCGCCACCAACGCGCCAAAATCGTAGCCACCACCTCACGCAACTTCAGCTCCTCCACACCACGTAGTGCAAGTAATTTACAGAGTTGCCTCTCCCGGCGTCTTCGGCACACAAAGACCTTTACGTAGCGGGCGATGACAAGCGCACTCTTAAATAACTTCTCTTCCCGTGCCACACGCTCCTCCGCAACCAAGGCACATCGTTCCTGTTTTTTCCGAAGTTTACGCTGCTCAATAATACAGCTCAGCATCCCTTCAATGCACATGGCAGCAGCCTTTTGCATACAGTAGACCTCCCGGTAGAGCACTTGTTGGCGCTCCCGCAACATGTGGCGGGCACGGTTACTACGCCACGCGCACTGAATACAGCACGCCGCCCTCATTCGCCGCTGATGCATAACATTGAAATAAACGAGGAGCTCCGTTTCACAGCGTTCTTTTGCCTCCTCCACGGTCTCCTTTTCCTCTTCATCTTCCTCCTCACTTTTTTCAGCTCCCTCCTCGTCCTCCTCTTCCTCTTCCTCTTCCTCTTCCTCTTCCTCCTCTTCCACTGCCTTGGACCCCGCTTTTTCTTGTGTACGGAGACTAATGGACCCAGGTCCTTTGAAAGTCAATGCATCTGCCATACTGAGGCGTTGCGACGTGTCGAGCGCCCCGGTGTCCGCGGATTTCATTCCCGCCGTCGTGAAGGGGCGTGTGACAACACGTTCCATGTCGTTTTCCTCGCTGTCGCGGACCCCTTCCACCGCTACTTCTGCGTCATCGACGGCACGTTTACCGGATTTCAAATCCCCTGGTAACTGCGTTGGCTGTTCCGGTGAGAGGGAGGTGGGTACAGTGACAGAGGTGACGGAGAGGCTCTGTGGGATGCCTTCAGGCCTCAGCTTCATTCGCGCGAGCGTCTTGTTTGTATTCCTGCCCACTACCGCTTCCTCACTCCCCGCTGCACCCTCGTGGTGTTCGTGTTCGTCTACATGCTCTTCCCCCTCCATCGCCTGCCGCTGCTTCTTTCTTTTCCTCCGTCGCTCGGAAAGTTGCTCGCCTGCTTCTTCGTTTATACCCTCCACATGGACATCCCGCCCCTCGCCCCCCTCATAGTCGCCACCTCCAAACGCGTACCGCTTCCCGGGCTTTCTTTCCCGCTGCTGCTTCCTCTTCTTTCCCTGCTGTTTCTTCTCCTCGGAGATGGGAACGTCCTCACCGAAGACATGGTGTTCCGGTAAGAATGAGCGCTGACGGCGCTTGCGCTGTCGCATCTTTTTCTCCTCCTCCTTCTTTTTTTTCTCCGCCTCTATCTCGGCGTGCTGCCGAGAATACAGCGTGTCAACCACCGTGATACCACCCAGTCGCAGGGCGTCGCTGGGGCTACGAAGGCGGTGGCACTGCATTACAGCTGAACTCACCTCTGTCGATTTATGCCTCGCACGAAAGAAATTGTCATTGGAGTGTAACCGTGAAAATATCCTTCTGCCATGCATACCGTCCATCCCCAACAACTTACGAGCGTGGATAGGTGAGCTCGCCGAGCTCAAAGGAGAGATGATCCTGGAAGCACGGTGTGTTGCAGAATACTGATTATTGGGACTTTTCAGCTGATATAGACGCGCCGGGAAATCAAGCAACGAGTTCGGCATCGTTGACCTACCAGACGGTGGCACACTCGTCACGCTTGTTTTGAGGTGCTCCATAGCATGCGGTTGTAAAACTGGAGGGAAGACGTACGCCGCCGTCCCGTGGGGGTTGGGATGCTCCTCCCACACTGCAGCTCCACCAGCTACCAGAGACGAACCAAGAGGGGCTCCTGGGTTCTGTTGCAGCTGCTGATGTAGCCAGTGGGTAGGGGTTGAAAATTGTTGTACCACTTCACGAGCACGTTCTAGTAATACGTTTCTCTCGTTAAGAAGACTCTGCCGTCGCCCTTGATCCTGCTCCCCATCGGCGAGTTGCTCCAGATACCCTCCCCATTTGAACAGTGCCACAGGGAGGAGTCGCTTTGCCTCCGCAGCCATCCATTCTTGGCCGTTTCTGGTGCTTGTGTCGTGCACGCTAAGCGATGTGAGAAGCTGCTCTGCCGCCCGGCAATGCTGCGTGGCCTTTTCATGCTGCCCTACACGAGCACGCAGAAAAGCCAGTTGCATCTCATTTTTGGCACACTGAAGGGAGTTACACTCCCCCTCCATACTTGCAATCTGACGCATGGCAGCCCCATTCTCAGCCACCCTTGACGTCTCCGCCGCCTCTCGCTCCTGTCGAAGAATGACGGCGACTCGCTTCGCAATGTCCTGGGCATGCTTTGCATGTTGGATGGCCATAAGAGTATCCCGGTGTAAGGTGACGTCAGCCTCCACCGCATTGCCATTATTACCGCCAGCATTCTCCGAGACAAGTATCTCCTTCACCATGGCATGGGTTCTTCGAATAAGCAGTAGCATCTGTGCTGCTATAAGCGGTGGCTGCCGCAACTGGACGGTGTTGCTGTCCCTCTGTACAGCTGTGCCATCGCCACCTAACTTGTGCTTGCTATCGCCGGAACTGCAAGGGCTCCGTCTCGTGAGACACAAGGCACGTATCTCGTTACCAACGTCCACAGCACGGTGTAGTACCATCAGTGCCTGCCTCCGCAACGTGTGTGCCTGGTCGTGTTGTTGTAGTTGTTCCACCTCAGCACTGCCTCGAGCCGTCTGCCCCGTGACAGCGTACCAGTGCCGCATCTTCTCCTTGGCAACCCGCTGAAGTTCCTGCACCGTTTGCGAGAAAATACGTAGCGCATCGGGTGGTCGGTCGTGCTGTGGCATGGCCCGAATGGCGTCGCACCTCTCTTGCAAAGCGTCAGCAGCCAAGAAAGACATTTTGCATACACACACTGAGAGTGGGAAGTGCTGCCTAAATACGCGTGTACGTGGTTGTGTGGGAGATTAAGAAACAAATAACCCCCTCCCTCCCTCTCCTGTTGCAGTGAATGAATGTGATGAAATACAATCTAATGGGAGTGACACTAACACCCACGTCCAACACAGCCTTCACTATGCACCCACGCTGTACGTTGCTTCAGGGCCCAACCCAACCAACAACAGCGCATAATAAATCAACAAAAAAAAACGGATATAAAGAAAAATACATTAGCAGAAGTAGAAGTGCGTGGGAGAGACAGAGGCACACACAACTTCAATACCTCCACGCCACCACGCACACATACGCGGTGCAAATGCATTATGTCGCGCGTAGAACGACATATGCACACGCATGTCAGAAATCACGGCACATCTACTGCTGAAGGCCGACACTCTCTTTGGAGTGTGTGCACAAGCAGGTTAAATTTCTTTCTCCTCCTCTTTCTTGTTGCTTTTGTTTTGTTTTTGTTTTTTACTTTCACGTTGCTAGGACTTCCTGTGTATGTCTGTATTTTTTGACGTGAAGGATGATGGGATGTCCACGGCCGCACACAAAAAACGAGAGGGCGAGGGTGAGGGATGCAGCAAGAGTTGGGGGTGGGGTGGGGAAGAAGGAAAGGAGGAATGAGTGGGTGGGAAAGACACAAACTGCCCATTGTTAGGGCATTCCACTTTTTTTTTTGTTCTGCCTTTAGTGTTGTTGGCGTTTTTCCTTCAAATCTACCGTCTCATTTTTTTTGTTCCCCTTCTTTGCGGCAGCCGCCAGTAAAATGCACTAACGGGGATAACCTCCTCCTGCACACGGTGGCATGTGCGCGGGGTGCAGTGGCGGAAAACGCAGCCCCATCCCCTCTGCCCCAAAAAGTAAAAGAAGAAAAAAACCCAGGTGCCCACAATGACGCGGTGAAAAAAACCAACAACACGCGACGGCACCTTCACCCGCAAGCCCGCACGGTGGGGACGGGGAAGGGGCGGCCGCAGGAGCAGTGGCGGCCACACAGACACACACCCCGTCAGCGTCAAAGCCCAAGGGCCTAAAAAAAAAAAAAAAAGGAAAAACGTGACCATTGCAATAAAAGCCGGCTCTTCGTCTCCTCCTTCCCTGCGTCCCACACCTCTGCACCCCCCTAAACCAGCTTCCTTTGCATTTTTTTTTTATCCCTTCACTTATTTTCCCTTGTTTTCTAACAACAGCCACCACCACCTTCCTTTTTGCCGGACGTCTGCCCGTTGTTGGCCGCGCCAAGGCTCACCGGCCGCTTCGCGTTCGCACCGGCGTTCAACGGCGGCCGCTTGCTCCCCGCCGCATCCACAGGTGCCACAACGAGGTCGTAGACTGACTTTGCCAGCCACTCAAAGGCCTTGTCTACGTTCGTCTTCTCAAGGGCGGAGGTCTCGAGAAATGACAGACCATTTTCGCGTGCAAAGCGGTCGGCAACCTCCTTCTTCACCACCCGGAGGTGCTCCAGGTCGCACTTGTTTCCAATGAGAAATATGGAGCATGTCGCCGGCACAAAGACGCGCAGCTCCTGCAGCCACGTTGGAATTGAGTCAAATGAGGTTTGGTTCGTGATGTCGTAGACGAGCATGGCACCCTTTGCGCCGTGGTATATGGAGCGCGAGATGGCGCGGAATCGTTCCTGCCCTGCGGTGTCCCAAATCTGCACCTTCGCGTCGCGTCCCTCAATCTTAATGCTTTTTGTCATGAACTCAACGCCAATGGTGGCGGGTGTGTCTTGGCTGAACTCGTTCGCTGTGTAGCGCGTCATTAGATTTGACTTGCCCACCCCGCTGTCGCCAATGATGACGACCTTGAAGGTCAAATTTGTGTCCTCCATCGTTGCTGGCTTATGTCCCTCCCTTTTTTTTTCTTTTTTTTTTTCTTCTCCTTGACTGTGTCCTCCTTTTAAAGCACACACGGAAACGTACCCTCGGTCGTATGTGTGTATTTGCAAAAGAAACGCTGTTGGGTCAACCGTATGTATACCTTTTTGCCCGCCGCGCAGCGCGTGCAATCCAGAAGAATAAGGGAGGAGGAAGAAAAAAAAAAACCACGGAGGCGCGTGAAGGGCAGAGAGGGTCGCCCCTCCCTCGCCGGGTGCCGGAGGGAGAGGCACAGCAGCGAGTTTGCAGATGACATCCGGCGACGGCAGGTGTGCGGCGTGTCATGTGTGTATTATTCTGCGTCCCCCCCCCCCCCGCGCGTTGACGGCTCTTGAGTGGTGATGGCGCAAAGTCACCGTGTTTGCTCGGGCCAACGAGCCCCAGACGCGGGGCAGCAAAAGAGGAGAAGCGCAATGCAAATGCAACGTCCTGCGGCACACACACATATATATATGTCATATGCACGCAGGCGACCACATTGGCGGTAAGGTCCGGGAGGTCCAACTGCAATGCAAACGTCCAGTGAGACACACACACACACACACACACCGAGAGAGAGAGGGAGAGACAGAGAGATAAAGAAAAACAAGAAAAGGAAAAATAATAATAATACAGATATCAGTGTCAGATACAACCCGCATCAAAAGAGGAGAGGCCTCATCATGTGTGCCCCTTCCTGAAGGCAACCAGAAACATCATCATCCCGCGGAAGATGCGGCTGCTCACAGCCACAATGGGGAATACGCGGCGGATAGCTACTCGTAGGCAAAATTATATAAGACGCATGCCCCGACGCTTTGTTTTTCATTTACTACCTGCGTTTGTTGCCGCTTCTTCACCTCCACAGCGCATTCTTTCCCGTTGCTCTCTTTGCTTTGCCCTTCTCAATACGGGGGCTCATTTTTTTTTTTTGTGTGCGTCCTTCTTCTCTTTTTCTTTTCGCTTTTGCCTCCTTGACATTCTTTGCAAACAATCGTTTCCCTCCCCCTACTCCCTCGCAAGCCACTCTGCACCTTACATGCACACGCTGAGAGAAGAAAGCAAAAAAAAAAAAAAAAACAACGCAGAAAGTGCGGCGTCATCGAAGTGTCCTAAGTCCTTGCCCCCTTGAGGCCGAGGCGTGTTGTATTCCTCGGCAACAAGAGGACGAAGACGCCACCCGTGCATCCATCCGCTGTACTCTCTTCCACGTGTACGACTCGCCGCGGCTGCTGCTTAGTTACTAATACCCATCTCCACGAAGCGTTCACCGTACGTCTTTGACTTCACTCGTGTCAGAAGCACCTTTTGCACATCAAAGAGGGCGATGACCTGCAGAATGAGCATCATCAGCGCGCTGGCGAAGGTGAGCTCCTGCGGCACGCAGTTTCTCACGGGTTCGCCAAGCCGGCCAATGACCACCTTTGTGTTGGTCGCGTTGTCGAAGATGACGCCCATCGTTCCCATGTGCTTCCACTTCGCCACAATCTCGCTGTAGTTAATGATGCCCAACTCGTTGCAGTCGCTGATGACGGGGCCGGCAAGGCCGAGCGAGTGGGCCACAAAAAACATCGTAATCACCAGCATAACGGAGATGAAGTAGAGCAGGCGGTAGGCCTTTCGGGGCACAAAGTGCAAGAAAATGTAGCAAATGGCCGTGAAGATTGAGAACAGAATCCCTAGAAAGTGCGCAAAGCCGGCATGTGCAAAGTTGTGCTCTAGCGTAATCACACGGCCGGTGCCAATGACGTACATAAGTGTGCATAAAGCCAGCAGGACGCCAAGAATGAGGGAGAGAAACTTCCGCAGGAACTCGCAGACAGTGCCCATAAATTCCAGTGCCATAAGGCTTGCTGCTTTTCTTTTTTCGTTTTGTTTTTTTTTACTTTTTGGTTGTGTTTTTTCTTTTTTGCTCTTCGGCAAATTCCTCTTCTCAACGTGTAAGAAAAGGCGGCGCACACCACACGGTAAGTGCGCAACTGCTCCCTTCTTTTTTATATATTTTTCCTTCTTGACTCCTTCACAAGCACTGGAGCAGGTGTGGGGGGAGAGAGGCACTGACGTGGGACGACGACGCCGGTATTATTTCAGACAGGCAGACACGCCCCTGCCTGCTACGGGGAATCTCAGCAGAAACACACTGCAACAACAAACGCCGACGAAAGCAAAAATAAATAAATAAACAAACCATTACAAAAACAGGAAATCAAGGAACTTCACTGGCATGGCCAATCCTCCACGGGTGAAGTTCCCACCTTCTTCTCAACGCACAGAGAAGGGCGGAGTAGGTGCAGGCGCAGTACGCGGAGCACATAAACACACACGAACCGTGGGAGTACTTTGACGGGTAATGACGTCAAACGATCAACTCCCTGAGCAGTGAAAAGCAACACGAAATAAAACATATATATATATATATATGTAACCACCACAAAAAAAACAAAAAACAAACAAACAAAAAAACATACGCAGAGGCACAGCCCCCCATGTTATTTCATCGCAGTGCATTTCAGCGATGATGGTATGCGATTTCCCTCCACGCGAAGCATCCCGCAGACGCAGAGGGCCGCAGCTACGGCCGCTGTGACACCCAAAAAGAGCAAAAGATACCGCATTGTCTGTGCCACCTGTGCATTGATCAAACAATCCACGGCAAGCTGCAGCAGTACGAGATGCCGCTTTTGCTGGCAATGCATCGTGAGCAGGCGCTGACGAGCCAAAAAAAAACGAACCCGCTCCAGGAAGGCCTCCCGCCAGCGTGCTTCTTGTGGCGATGAGGAAGTGTTCGGGGATGAAAATGGTTCATCCAACACCCTGCAGGCCTGCTGCTGCTGCTGCCAGGGCCACAATTTTCTTTCTATGCTGAAGTACGGGGACGTCTCCCATCGGCTTTCATTTGCCACAGAGGCGAGGAGTGTTGTCATGGCAAAACTGTGCGACAACTGCTCTTCTGTCAACCGAACGGGTAAAAACGACGTTGTCCTTGACGGGGTTGCCACCGCCCGCCAAGAGGCAACGGAGGGCTTCGCGGTATTTCGCTGGTGGTGCTTAGCAAAGCCACAAAAACAGCCTGCAAAGACGGCAGTGCGAAGTATTGCCCAGTGCCGCCTTGCATTCATCCTTCCACCGCCTGCAGCGTACCGCTGAGGTTTCAGTACAAATTGGCTGCATTTGTTCGTGGGTGCCCTTGGAAGCATACCCAGCGGATTCCAGTGCCATGGAGCATGCTTAGCATCAGCATCAGCAGTAGGTGTGTGGGCATGAGCCAACTCCTGCACGAAGGGTGGCTCACCACCAACCGGCATACGCTTCTCTCGCACAAAATACAGGGCGGGGATAAAGATCTCGTTTGTCAGGCAACTGCGCCCGCATTGCTCATACCAGCGCTCAGTTTCTTTCCTTCTAACGTACCCCACCAGCCGTTGTCCCCATCCTATGAAGAAGCGGCATTCCACAGGCCGCGAACGTCGATTGGCATCACGTGTGCGCCACAATGTGCGCTTGGGACGCCGGCGCAGCGTCAGAATGCTACCCCCTACAACTGCGGCACATGGCACTAGGAAGAGGCAGGAGGTCACGAAACCCCACAGTAGCACAGGTGCGGCGGTGGACGCCAGTGCGGAGGTTAGACCCATCGCGGCGACCACCGAGAGCATGAGCTGGAGCGCAAGGCTTACCACAAACTCTAGCGGTTGGGCGTAGGGGCGACAGGCAACCAACATAACACCCAAGCCGGCATGGATCAACACACAGGCGGCAAACCCCATCCACGGGCTTCCCACACCACTCCCTTCTCGCATTAATGTTGAGATGACGACTGTGGCTGTCTTTTGCGCCAGCACAACAAGCTTGAAGTAGCGGAATGCATAGGTATACGGGGCGTATAAAAAATGTGCCTCATTCTCTGAGGAGGCTACACGTGCACGATATACCACATCCACTTTTTTCGGTGTCTTCGTCGGTTGTGAGGCTGTGGCTCCTGCTGTTCCTGTTCCCGCATCGGTGGCGAAGAGCGAGGCCGACGGCATGGTAGAAGAGAAGGCGACAGCGGCATCCTCGCCAGCAAAGGTCGCTCCGATGTCTGGTCGTTGTTCCTCCTTCCATGAATACAGAGACGAGGAATTTGCTACCGACTCAGGTAACGGGTACCGTCGAAGTGCACGTAGCGCCTGCCGGGTGACGAAGCCGTGCAGGAGGAGAAAAAAAATGGCATAGGCAGAGGACGCAAGAATGGCAGAGGCGGTCAGGAAGCTATCGACGCCGTTGCACGGTACACTGGCGTCCGCAGAGAGGCGAGAGATGGTGCTCAGTCGTGTGCCTTGCACGTAGGCAGCACCCGACCCACTGAACGAGTCAATGTCGCCCCCGTGACTGCCGCCGTCGGCCCCCGCACACACCACCGTCTGGCAGGGAAACAAGTCGATGGCATTTCGCAGGATCGGGGAGTACATAAACGACACCGCAAGAAGCACCATGCAGAGCAGCATGCGGCGTAGCCAGAGTTTGAGCTTGAAGAGCTGTAACCTGCTCTTTCGCGTTAGCCCCAACACGAGTGCGACTGCAAACAAAAGCGACAAAAAGAACGAGGCCGCGGCAAGTGGATAACACACCTGTCCGGCATGAATCATGACCAACACCTCGATCTTGGGAGCGAATGCAAACATAAATGCAGCGGCAAAACCAATGAGAGAAACGACTAGTTTTATCAACGTCCACGACAAGGAGAAGGCGTGCGTCCCTTTGTACCGTCTCCAAACCAGTTGTTGGTAGGCCATCTCCGCCTTGGCACGCTGAACCCGAGCTTCTTTTTCCATTTCCTCCCCGTTACCCGGGCCAGTGTCATCCGAGTAGAGCAACCGCCGGGCAACACGCTCCTCTGTCGTGTCTGGGGCACACTCAAGCTGGTGTAGCCGCTCCAGCACGCGTGCCTGCTCACGTGCCCCCAACACCAGACGGAGGACGACGCCAAGGATGAGCAGCACGGCCAGAAGAGCCGCGCTCACCGCTGTGATGATAGTCGCCCCCTGCGTGGATACGCTGCGCATAAGGGCTGCCAGCGTCAGCCTCCTTTGCCACACTTCATCTGTGGCCAGCGGTTGCCTCAGTAGAAAAATTAGCAGCATGGCGCCTGCTACCATCCAAAAAACCGATGCGCAAAGAAGATAGGCAAACGCCGTGCAGTGGAGTGGCCCCAGCAGTAATGTGGAGAAAAACACAAGTACAAGAGGGGCCACAATGTTTGTGAAGGCAAACATGAGGCGCAAATCAGTGGGTACCCAGGGTGGCAAACGCATGCTGTGAGCTCCACCCTCACGCCCAGCGGGACTCTTCACCCCCAGGGTCTCCCGACTGTGGTCGTTCGCGTTGCTGTCGCTGCCGTTGGAGAATACCGTACGCATCACAATATCTACAACCCAGAAAGGGGAGCTGTAGAGTGTGGGAAACACACTTGGGGCGATCGTCACGATGAGGTAGAGATACTGCAAGTAGTTCATCAGAAGCTCCAGCACATCGTAGACCATTTCACCCCCCACCCCCTCCTAATGCCAACCTACACGTGCGCATTGCACGGGTGTATATGTATAGGCGCAGATACATGCACCACAGAGAGAGAGAGAGAGAGAGAAAACGTGAACCAAAACACCAACACCAACAGCTACAACAACAAAACACCCGTACAAATATGGTGCCGACACACCCAACAAATGAAGGGGCCAGGGCCAATCCAACGGATAACGGCAAACATAATCTTATCTCTCTCTTGGCTAGCAAATGGTGAGTGACAGCAGATACGACCAGGCATATATATATATATATATATATTTATACATATATATATTTCAAATTTGCCTTAAAAAAATCAGTAAGGCACAACACCGAGCAAAAACAAAACAGCAATAAACAAAAAAAAAACACACACACAAACACACACAAGTGGGACGAAAAAACCAAAAAACAAAAAAAATGAGACGGCATAAAATCAATATAAGGGCATTCCAATGAAACAAAAATAAACCGCACACGCGCGGCATTACGCAACAGACCTCAAACAACAACACGCACAAACACAAAAACAAAGCAAAAAAAAAAGAGGAAATAAACGTACGTAGCAGTTACACATCCCACGTGGTCAGTAGTTAAACCTCCCCACACCCCTGCCTACGACAATTGCCCGGGCTCACCCTGAGCAATTCAAATTACCTCCACAACGCACCTTCACTGCCCCTCCACCTCTTTCTTCTAGCTCCTCCCAGCTCGTGCCACTCTACGTGATTGTGTGAGTATACATGACCTCCCATACTACCCCTTGTGCGGCGCCTCCGCAGGGGCATCAGCCCTGCTTACCTTCGAACAAAAGAAGAAAAGCGCCGCGGTGGCAACACGGGTGCGGCTGTTGTGCCTATGAACCACACACGTCAAAGCAGAGCAAACTGCATGGAAGAGGGTGGCGGCGCACACGTAGATAGGGATATATATATATATATATATACATATATATATATATATATATTCAAATTTACATGTCGGCCTCTTCTCTTCCTTGTCTCTGTTTACAGGAGTCATTACTCGTTCAGCGATGCTGCCGGACGCACAGGTAATTCCCACCCACCCGGGAGCGGCATTAGAGCATCAGCAGTAGTAAACACACAGAAACAACAACAACAACAACAAAAATCACACACAGAGTTTATCGCAGAGGCAATGTAAGACATCAAAAAAAAAAAAAAGAACTTCTTCCTCCTTGCTACGACCATACACACACACACAGTATACATGAAGGATGCATACGTAGAGCGCATATAAATGATTTTATTAGTCAGCATTGTGTGTGTGTGTGTGTGTGTGTATATGTTTACGGTGCGCGGCACGTAATACACCGCTTTCTTTTTCTTTTCGTGTGGTTAGCGTAGCAGATATTTGCCCATAGTTTCACACACATACTCTCTTTTTCCCTCGCTTTCTGTCGAGTTCACGTCATAACATGCTACCAGCGTTTTTTTTCCATCTCCGTCACCGCGCTACTGCAGCCCAGCAATTTGACGCGATTGTCGGGAGTCACAAACGGGTAGCAACCCTCATGGAATGTCATTCCGCAGAGCTCTCGCACACTGTACCCGCTCACCACGGTGCTTTCGTACGCGTCGCGCCGGACGCGTTGCTTGACGCGACCGTCGTCACACAGCCAATTCTCCACGTCTAGTAGGTAGTACGGGAAGGTGGCGGTAAGGTTTACCTTGGAAAGACAACAGCAGTGCTGTGTGAAGGTTTCCCAACTATCGTATCCCATCAGCTCATGCTCCACGCTGTTGCTGCGCCAAACGCCATCCACAAAGTCGGATTTCTTCCCCTGAAGCATTCCACAGAGACAGAAGACCAGTGCCACCGTTGTACAAACACTCAAGGCAAGGAAGAACCACTGCATGTATTTCTTAATGGTGCCTGCAATTCGAAAATCCACTGCTTGTTGCAGCGCACGAAGCCGACTTCTTTGCTCCTTAAACACCTCAGTGAGGCGACGACGCAGTATAAAGTGACGCAGCAGCAACTTCACGCGCTTGGGCGTCGTCGACGCTATATGGAGAGGCCGCAGTACTGCTTCAGTGTCGTGGTCAATAGATACGCTTGGAATCCTCTTTTGTGTTCTTCTCTTCGTTCCCCCAGAAGTTCGTGGCGATTTGTTTGTAGCTGCGTCAGCCTTCAGCGGCGGGTATTCTGACGCGTCCTCGAGCTCCGCTCTCCTCGAAAACGAGGAAGATCGATTTACCGAGCCTGCCCTCGGAATGTAGATCTCTGCGAGTAGTTGTTGCGTAAATTCGTCCCAATCGGTTACCTCCACTCCCTCCAGGTGCACCTTTGGATAAACAGGGGCAAACACCGTCGGGCGGCGGACCCCGTCGTACGTTGCTTGAAGCTCCCGCTCGCAGAACTGTTCCAGCTTTTGCAGCTGCCTCTCTGCGTTAGAGATACATTCAAACCGTGTGTACGCCGAAGAAGAATGCTTCCGCTTTTGCGTTCCGTAGGACTCCTCCAGATGCCCCTCCGATCGGTGACCCACGAGCGACACCAATGACTCTTGTAGCTTTCCTTTAGGCGAGGCCGCAGAGTCCGTGGAGGCTTGATCAACAGAGCTCCTCTTCCTTGAGCTACTGAGCTGTATTTCCACTTCATTCTCTAAGGAGTTGGTCTCGGCGTCTCCAAAGCGAAAACGCTTGTTGTCGGTGGGCGATGGGGGACCAGGAAAGGCCTGAGTTTGCTTGTGCTCCACCACAATTGGAGGGTGGTGCAAATTTTTATGCGCCTTCAGCCGTGCAAACGCCGTGGGTTCCCCAGCGGCATTTCGCTCAAATGCCACCACACGGTTATTTCTGGCGCAATACGACGGTGCAGAGCTTCCCGGGACGTTGTACGTTTGCTGCTGTGTCTCGGAGGGCTCCAACCAAAACGGCCTGCCCTGCACTCCTGCAGACTTCTGCAACCTCCTTCGCTCCTCAAGCACCTCGGCGTACCGCAGTGAGGTGCCACTAATGTTGAGAGCCTTCCGCCAACGCTTCCAGCAGCGGAAAAATGCACTCTTCCGCGGGACCAAGGTCGTTGAATGATTTTTCGCATTTTCGGTCACTTCTTGTAGTTCTTGTTCGCCCTTCGTCCCCCCTTCCCTCTTCGTTGTACCCCCGTGGAGAATGGTGGACTTGAGACCCTCCGCTACATCATCCGTCGGTTCTTTCTGCCCTGTGGTGTTCCATTGTGTCAGCTGTCCTCGGAGAGTGTTGAAAAAAGTGAAAATGTTCCGAAATGTTCCTTCCCCGCTCCACCACCCATCCCCCTTCACGCGCAACTGCTTCCGCGACTTCACTTCCTTCCCCCCCGCATCCCCAGTGATAAGCAACAAGGCATCGTCAAACCCACCAAAGTACGCCGCAGGTACAAACGGCCGTGCATCCTTAAAGTAATCATCTCCAGGAAACTGAGCGCCATAATTGACATCCTCAACTGGACTCTGTTGTGACGCGGAGGGCGCAGCAGCTCGCACAATCCCAGCGTCTCCCCAACCACTCAATTGCGAGGTAAGTCCACTCGGCTCCTCCTTTCTGGGGTTAACCAGACCCGCCCCCTGGGCAGAGTGTTCTTGCAGATGATGCAACCTCCTCGGTGCTTCGTCACAAGATTCTGGCGAAAAATCCAAGCAGGAGCCTTCCTGCAAGTTAGATTGACGTTGCTGCTGGTATGAGTAGTTTGGTCCGGCCAAGGAGCTCATGCCTGCTTCCCACACCTCCCTGGGCAGCGGCTTCGCTGCATATGCTTTAGTGCCGCTAGCACTGCTGTTGTGGAGCCGCTTCGTGCGTGAAGGGCTGTCCCTCTCGCCCTGCCCCTCCGGACTCTCCGCACGCGCGGCACCGCCACCAAACGCCCTATTTCCCCCATCCTTCAAACTGGCTCTGTTCCCGCCCGTGACATTAAGAGGGTCACCGTCTTCCCTGAACTCTGGCGTGAAGGAGCGGCCCTGAGTAGTTTTACTCTCCACTGCAAAACCGTTTTCAAGGCGTCGCCGCAGTCGCTTGGCACGTTCGCGATCGTTCTGAAACGTCCGCACGAGACCAACGATGAGTGCCACCAAAGGGGCGAGACACACAAACACAGCCAACAGGACCGCCACCCCAAACGGAATAGCATGTCTCCCAAGTCGCTGCCCCACCACCCCAACGGAGGCCACACACACAATAGTGAATTGTTGCGTGGCACCATAAATGTTTTCCACAGGACGGGCGTAGGGGTGCAGCAGGGTGGTGTAAAGAAAGTATAGCATGCAAACCACAAGGACAAGCGCCAGGCCTATCCATGCTAAGTCTTCCTCAATGCCTTTACTCGTCAGACAACCGATCGTCACTAAAAGAACCCTTTGAAGAAGAAACGTCAGACGTGCTTTGCGATAGCTCCGTCGGTAGGCTTGATATACTGGTGCGGAGACATTTACGGACTTTCGGACCTTTTCGTAATAAAGTTCCTTCTCGGTAAACTCATCCATAAGGCGCTTGTCAAGTGGGTACTCCCTTTCAAGGATGATAGTTCCTCGGTCTGCCACCACCACCAGGAAAATCGGGTACCCAACCGTGTACGACAGAAGAATCACCAGCACGGTGACCTTGTAAAAGGCATTCACTTCACTACACGGCACAGATGAGTCATAGGCAAGGAGGGAATGAGCAACGGCATTCCCACAAAGCTGCGTCTGCAAGGCGGCTGGACAGTTCTGCGCATGCACGGAGAAATTGCAGGGAGAACACGGAGACGCAAGTGTGCCCCAGATGGGGGAATTGCCGGAGGCACTGCTTATGCTTCCTGGGGGCCCTATCCACTCCTTGGCGCCACACTTCACCTCGACACACCACAAAATATTAATCATATTCATCAAAACCGGGCTATAAATGAAGGAAATCACAACCAACATAATTCCTAACATCGTACTCGAGAGAAGGTCGTACATCTTCAACTGCAGACGTCTACCCGCCCTGAAAACACCAAAGATGGCCCATACAAAAGTCATAAGGCCAACCAACAGCAGGATAGAACCGGTGGTGTGCCCCACTGGGCTTTCTTGAAAGAAACGGATATCACGTATCGGCGGCAGCCCAATAAATAGAACACCAACCATCAGAACGACCACCGCCATGATGAACTGTGGAAGAGTCACAGCAAGGCGACAGCGACGCAGGTAACGTCTATTGCTGTCCTCATGCGCCGTCAAGGCGGCAAGTGCCCGCAGATTGGTTTCCGAGCGCGTAACAGCCTTTTCAGCAAGTGAGGTACCCCACATCGGCTCAGTCCTCACCGCAGCGGTACCCTCCATAATCGCCTCCTGCTCATGCATGCGACGAAGCCGCCAAAAGTGAAAACCAAGGGCCCCAATTAAAATAAGCACCGCCATCGTCGCCGCCCCAACGCTCAAAAGCAACACCCGTGTTTGCTTGGAAATAAGATATACCGAGTAGATCCACGGATGGGCAAGCAGCACCGCCCCAAACACCATCGAAAAGAGAGACGCTAATACTAGCAGGAGCCCTCCAAAGGCCAGTGTGGAGCAAACCGTGAGAACGCCAACCAGAGACGCCAAAAATGGCGCAAAAACCGCAATAAAGGCGAACTGCAGGCGGTAGTCTAACGGTAGCCAGTCGGGTAACTTAATTCCCAGTGGATTACTGTAATAGTTTTCTTTACTCAATCTGTCCACAAACTCAAGACTGACGTAGCGGAGACTCCGAAAGGGCTCTACGTAGAAATCGGGAAAGCTCATCGGTGAGATAGAGACAAGAATGTATATGTACTGCACATAGGTCACTGTCATATCCGCCAAATCAAAGACGGTCATAGCCTCATACAACCAATATATAGCTCTTGCAGGTTCACGACACCAAACAAATGCACCTTTTGAGCTTAACCAATAATTATGAGTTTCAGCAATGCCAAACTAAAAAAGAAAAAAAAAATAATTTGTTGTTGTATGAAGCAATGCCACTTTCCTCCTTGCCGCTTGCCCTCTTGTATTCAACTGAGTGTGTGTGTGTGTGTGTCCCTGTTCTCCCCCCAACTTCCTTCTATTATTGTTATTATTACCGCAAAGAGGCAGCGCCCAGAAAACGTCCGCAGCGCAAAGGTCTTCCCACCGCGAAGAATCTTCCCAGTCAAGAGTTAAACGTTCCGTCGTATTGTTTCACTCCCTTTTTTTTTCTGTTGTTGTTGTCTGTCGTTGGTTCCTTCGTTCCCAGAAACAAAAAAAACAACGTGGTGAGGGGACGAGAGAGGTGGAAAAAAAAAAGAAAAAAAAACACGGGATGCCTCGCACGGCCATTGCGAACTCGCAAAGACATACGCCTCCCCAACTAAATAGAGAGACACAATTGGACTGACGCATAATTGTCCACAGTTATTCTGTTCTTTTGTTGCTGTTTACGAGAGGGCACACTCGAGCTCTTCTGCTTTGCATCCTGCTTGCTGCCTCTCCCACTTTATCTCTCTCTTCTGGTTCTCCATTTGGAATCCCCCCGCACATGTACACACATACGGAGCGTAAGAGGCGGGGAAACAGAGAGAGAAACAAAGATGGTGTGCGCATGTGTGTCAGATGACGAAAGCGGCAGCACCGGCAGAGGGAGCCACAGAGGACAAAAAAAAAAAGAACAATTTGGCGGGGCATCCTGCCCCGCCACAACATGTGCAAGTAATGCAAACAAAAGCCTCCTCCTTCCCACGCAGCACGGAGCGAACCGTGTGGACCACCGCGCTCGCTCGCGTCGCGTCTTGTGCCCTCCCGAACACGTAGAAACCAATAAACCCAAAAAAAGA